CTTGTACCGAGTATTGGACGAGTACCTGCCAAGAGCTTCCCGTCATCCACTGACGGCTATAAGACACCCGCTGATCTTGGCTCCGTGACAACGTACCTAATAACATAACCAGCACGTGCTCATCATTTACAATCTTATTGTATCGGAATATTTTCAGCAAATCGCAAGACATATTTTGTTGAAATTGTATTCCCTTTAGCTGATGAAGTTATTCCTAAAATCTAACTGTTAACTTTCGGCCATTCACTTCGTTCGATGTCTAGGCTATCTCTGAGGTACTCTCGGTAGATATTAATTTACGTATAGTCAAATGGGGTAAGACAGGATCGCAGCCTTCATGGGGTAAGAAAGGACCAGCCCATGGCATGCATTCTAATTGCACTGAATTTAATTTGACAAAAGAATATGTTAGAGCAATCATTGCTTGTCATTTCAGTGTTTGTTTCAACCCTCTTCTGCAAATGATGAATTTCTGGCTAATTTTTAAAGAAAACCTTTGTAAAGAAGGGTCACAAAATAGTTAACCCTGTTTGGGAAATAAGCTCTGTCTAATGACAAAAAAATTTTTGGCCAGGTTTGTGGATGTAGGCAGGTAACCTCAAGTAATAAGCAACTTTTTAGACATACTAGGCTTTCCTACCTGCTACCATCACTGCCTGACATGTATTCTAAATTGGGGTAAAAAAGGACCGGACATGGGGTAAGACAGGACCACTAAATGATCCTGTTTTACCTCACAAGTGGTCCTATCTTACGCCATAAATGGTCCTCTCTTACCCACAAATGGTCCTCTTTTACCCCATAGTTTATCAAAAATAGCTTTTAAATTAATATATTATTGTGCATAAGTATACACGGAGTATTTTGTTAAAAATTTTCATCTTTTGCTTAAAATAACCATTCTAACTTGTTAGCTTTTTTAATTAGATAAATTTAGCATACTATTGTGAATTGCATCATGGGGATGGAGAAAATAGGGATGTCTCTTCCCATTAGTGAGCTGCAGAAACAATGTGCAAGAGTGGTTGGGGGAAAAATCATTGTGTGAAACATAAAAATTAATTATAACAATTTTGTGAGAGTGCATGGGCTATGTTTGAAGAAGTGCACCACAAATGCAGTTAGCAAGAAAACACATGACGTCTGACTCTCAACTAATTATCCATTGGTTTTATTACCAATTAGATAAATTTTCAGACAATGACACTAATGGAATATACATGTAACATTTGGCAGTGCTCTACAATGAACCAAAGCCAACCCACTATTACTATGCTTAACAAAGTTTTCTCATGGCAAAAACTCCAATGTGACTGATATTAGAATTGACTTCCTGCAACACAAAACAGTAACAAGTGGTTTTTTAATCAAATAATGTGTTTCTAGATGGATAATATTGAACATCAGATTTGTACTTTTATTAAAAACCTTGTAACATAAGAATTACCCGTTGGTCCTGTCTTACCCCATGCCTGGTCCCATCTTACCCCAGTGGGGTAAGATGGGACCAGCTCACTTTTTTTAGTCTGTACAGAAAACTGTGAAAACTGTGTACAGAAAACTGTGTGATGCAAAACATCTGAGTTGTAGCTTAGAAGCCCATTGCATAACTACACCTTGTGATAGGTTTAAGGTTTTTTAGTTATTCATGGTATAGATGCTACAGGCTTGTTAGTGATTTCGGTCCTGTCTTACCCCATTTGACTATATAGCGAGCAATGTGGTTCTTTGTTGTAGTTGTTACACTCCGTACTTAACCGGAACTGTACTTTATTACGTGTCACTTTAGAATTCTAACGCTTAACTCTGCTAATACTTTGCTGTTTTCCGAAAGAAAACTATCATCCATCAGGTTTTTTAAGTGTGAGCGCCTCCCCTAGTCTTGAAGTGTGACACCAGCAATTTTTGAGCATGACCATTGAATGGTTTTAGCTAAAATAAAATTATCAGTCACAAAATTTAATTATCGTTCTGGACCCGTTTCCCTGAAAGTATTATTTTTTCTAAACTCAATTTACTTCTGGGGATTATGCACCGCCTAACCAATTTACCACAAATCGTTTAATAAGAAGAGCAGACAGCAGCACGAGTGCGGTGCAAGGCGTTTCCTGTGACGCATCGATCTGCGGTCAAGGATGCAGTTTGCTCTTGTTAGTGCATGTAGCCTCGATCGTGAGCTCAGTGCGATCCTAAAGTGCGCATCCTGGACGTTTTTGTATGGACGTGTGAGGACGTGACTGTCAACACGTATCATCTCATTAGATTCTGAGAAATTGATATTTTAGTTTGGCCTAATTCAGAGTGTCGAAGGTGTGGCCACAGGAATCAACTAGCGCTTCGCATGCTTTTTATTTTAGCTCTGCATTCTCGAGCTCGCAGGAAAACCACTCGTAAAGTAGACGATCTATATAGAGCTGCTCGCGTCCTCGCTCTTAACCTTCTCGCCTCCTTGAGTACAAGTGTAGCTTTTAACGTTACTACAGCTTTAACTCCTGAACATCATCGGGATTCAGCGTACAGCTGCGCAGGGTGACTCTACCTCATTTATAGTTGGAAAAAATTTGCTGTAGAGTAACTTTTTCAAAGTTAGGCGACTTGAAAAGGTGTAGACCATAAAGCGCCTCTACCGTCACTTCCTAATTGTTTTTTTTTTTAAATATCTCTTTTTCTTCTCAAAGTTTTTTTATTATTGGCGGTGGTGCGCGGCAGACGCACGAACATCCAGTGCCCTAGTCTGGCTGATGTTTTCTACGTTGATGATTTAGGTATGACGTTAATTTAAAGCTTGTCAGACCTCAAGAAAGCATGAATTAGGGAGCGTAGTTTGATCAAGTCAGATTATTTTAATCGAGCCAAGCCGAGATTTCTACGCTAGCAGGGCAACTACCAATTGAAACGAGCATTTCATCAATTTAATTTCAATATGAACATTGCATTCACATCAAAATGTTTGAGCGTGAGAATTATCTGAATAATATAATGTTATCCGTATACGAGTAGAAATTCGAGAATTGTTTCCACACATTTCTGCAGCCTGGGGATGGAGAAAAGTTGACATTGTGATCACAAACGCCACACATAAACACGGAATTTATGGCCGTGCTCTACGTTACTTGCAATGACGTACTGGGCGTCGCAGTGTTGGCATTTGTGAGACTAACAATAGAGGGCGTTATCGTTGCGCGCACGCGCCTGCATGACCTATGCAACAGTTCCGCCTATTGATTGACCCACTTCACTTATGTAGGTCATTCTAATGAACCCACTGCTTTGCTCACTCTAAATGGCCAATCAAAAGCTCAGTTAAGGGTTCAGGTCATTTAATACTGGTAATGATAGATTCGTTTTTGAGAGATTTACAGGCATATCGAAGCAAATTAAGCATCTGCTGGAGGTAGCGTAGTTTCGGTTTACTAAGCATTTTAGTTTTCACGTTTTGTTATTGTCAAATAATGATGAGTCTAGCATACACATGAGGTTACGTACGTATCTCTGCAACTTTGGTTTCATTCACACTAGGATGTATAGTTAAAGTCATACCTAAACGCATAGGTATCCAATTTTTATCGTCAGTTCGGACTGATCTAGACTTATATGACGCGCTATATTAGCATACGTTCTTACATAAGCCATATTCACATCCAAGAATTACTGATGATTGTTGAGGTGCAAGCGAATTAATAAGTTTGTGTGAAGGCAACTATTTATTTAAAAGAAGGTGATGAGTATTTTCACTAGTTTTCCCAAAACGCTTAAGGAAAGAACCAAGAAATCCACAGCATGACTTGTAACAAGATATACGAAAATCATTTGGATACTCGTTTAAAGTTTCATTTCTAAGAGGGCTCGTAGAATTTATGGAGTATAAGGTGTGTCGAGATTTGAGAGACGGTGTAGGTACGTTACGAGCAACAGTTTGATGTCTCGGGGAGTAAGAGGGGAAGAAAAAGAGGGGGTGCGCCCCCTCGCTACTTTCTGGTCTTTTTCATATGTCGTCCCACGCAAGGCCCCCTCGTCCGTCCCCCTAGATGATGGATAGCCTACCGAGAATTGCGCCTCTGGAACCAGCTAAATGGGGATCAAAGAAAAGACCTGAACATTAAAACTTGGCTATCTGGAAGCGCTTGAAGCGACTCGAGAGTTTTTCAATGTATCGTTGATGACTTTACTTACATTTTGTACTGCTTAGAACCATGGCGTTATTCTCTTTTAGGGGTTGCGCGTGTAGTTCTCAATTTGGAGTAGAAAGCTTCAACCCCTAAGCTGGTGTACTTTTAACTTCTGAATCGCTGACCTTAAATAAAAATTAATTAAACTCCTATTAACTTTTGTTGACTGAGTAAGACCTGAATATATCTACGAGTTCTCCATTGAATTAGCTTGGTAATTTATGATAATCAACGCGTGGTTAGGTCAGGTGATAGTCACGAGGCACATGATGAGATTATGAACCCGCGCCTGTATCTCGCCCGACCGTGTCTCATCTCTCAATACTTCATTTCTTGTCCACGTAAACTAGAGCGTTCGTTGATTATCTAGTCGCTCGTCTTACTAGACAAGCAAACTATTCTCACTGTAGGGTTACAGGTCATTCCTACCTAACAGTAGTTTCTCTACCTCAAATAAATTATGTTTAATTGTGTCTGTCCGAGTTACGCAATTAAGCGAGCCTCAATTATTTGCTGGCGCTTTTTTTCGTAAAATATTAGGATATATTTAACTGTGTGATGGATGTTCCTTTTTGTTTTGAAGACTAATAGTTTTTAAATAGCGCTTAGAATCCTTTGAGTTCTCAGCCAACTTATCTCGATTAAATTTTTGTCTAATTTCTGATATGCATTGCATCCATTTCATGTTACCTAGAAACTCTAGTTTTCCCTCACTGGACGAATCGTGTATTTATTTCTGGATGCCCTGGACAGGCAGCTCACTCATGCATGCTAACCTGCCGTATCCTCTCACCTTGTTGCTCTGTGTAGAGAATTTGTTCTTGTTTTTCCAGGCTGACCAACTCACCGAAGAACAGATTGCCGAATTCAAGGAAGCGTTCTCACTGTTCGACAAGGATGGTGATGGTACCATCACCACCAAGGAGCTGGGCACTGTCATGAGGTCGCTTGGTCAGAACCCCACAGAGGCCGAGCTCCAGGACATGATCAACGAAGTCGACGCTGATGGTCAGTAGTTCTCGTTTAAAGTTTGGATCTCATGGGATTTCTTTTATATAACCCTAGTAAGTTTATATACATGATCAACGAAGTCGACGCAGATGGTCAGTAGTTCTCATTTAAAGCTCGATTGTCATGAGATTTCTTATATATAAGCCCACTGGCCGAGTAAGTTTACCTACATGATCAACGAAGTCGATGCAGATGGTCAGTAGTTCTCATTTAAAGTTTGAATGTCATGAGATTTCTTATATATAAGCCCAGTAAGTTTATATACATGATCAACGAAGTCGATGCAGATGGTCTGTCGTTTACATTTAAAGTTTGAATGTCAAGTGGTATTTTATGGACCCTGTAAGTTTTTATTTACCGTGATCAGAGAGGATCCTTGCCTTATAAATATCTTTATTTATATTAGCATATTTATAATTAAAATAAAACTACTTTAATTATAACCATCTGTTCATTCATTATTGAATAGTTTTAATTGTTTTCGATTTAATTTTTTAATGTTATTTTTAATTTTTTAATTTGACATAACTTACCGTCACCAATTTACTACGACGGCTTCATCTACTCGCAGAATTTTCAGCTCTGGTGATCTTTCGACATGATACGATTTCTTGATTTGCTTGATTGCGATCAACCTGAAATTGACTCGTTAGCTCTGTCTTTCATCATTTACCTGTGATATCGCATATCTGGTCATAAATGTGGATCTTCTCAAAGAATCCCAAGAAACAACAATCGCAATTTTATCATTACTCTGTCTCGCTCGTCTATATATGGTTGTTCATAGTTTGTTCTGATTAATCATTTGCAACATATTCCTGTTGCGTGGCTTGCAGTGTCAGCCATCAATACCTATCTTAGCACTTTCGTTGCATTCACGTCGTGGTCAGCTCTGAATTTATTCATGTGCTAATGATAATTTAACTGCTTACTTATTTCTATTTGATAATATTCTGCTCAGTCTGCAACGATGGTTGCATTTCTAATAACATTTCTCCGAATTTTCCCCACATTAAGGTAGAAGTTAATGGAACATGTGCTGTCCCCTGTGATGTAGGCAGATCTATTTCAGTTGGTTGTTTTTGCCGCTGTTGATGTTAAAGCAATGCATGAAAGCCTGAGCTTCGGTGCCGGCAACTGGGCCGTAATAGAAACTAACAAAAACAGGACACAGCCACCTGGGATGCCGCTCTAGTTCTGACGACCACGCCAACTTGATTCACATTTCCCTGAACTCTACTTCTCCGCCGTGCTTATTATGCCTTACTAAGTTACTATTAGTTCAGTGAGAACCTTAATACCCATTTCTTGTGGCAATCTTTACATCCTAATCAATCATCTACTTGCAATAAAGAGTCATCTTTTCAAGAAGTTGAAGTAAAGGTCTTCGACACAATTTACTTCGACACATGATTATACTTCGACACAGTACAAAAGTATAATAATTTAATTCTTGGCATATTAAAGCCTTCCTTGGTAGTAATTTGATTGTGCCTTTCTCACACATTCAAATCATGTAGCGTTTAAATTTCACTCATCATATACGTAACTTCTTGACCTAAACACTCGTTGGCCGGCGTAAAATTTTCCGACTTTTGTCTGGATTAAATCAGGCACCGACGAACTGCAGACCATATCAATAGACACTTTTAAGCTATTCCTACGTATTACAAACAACGCCAAAAGTTTCCTTTTGCTTGTATTAGCTGTGTTGTAACTGTTGTTCATATCATCCGGAATATTGAATTTTATATTCTTGAACTTGGCCGTGATACACGACTTTATCAACCGGCCACTACACTCATTCCTTCTCGCTCTTTGCACTGTAGTTCTCATTTATTGCCACTGTTCGCACCCACCTCCTACCCGCCACCCACACAAGTTTATACACATCGCTGTCTCCGGCACACGCACACGGCCGCTCAAGTCGTCGTATTTATAAGTGTGTGTGTGTTGGATGCCAAGGTCGCGTGAACGTGTCTTGTGTAAAAAGCACGCGCTACATTGTTCAGTAGACCAACTCCCGCCTCATCGTGCAAATTCGTACAGATCAACTCGCGCCTTATCATGTAGAGCTGTAGACCAACTCCTGCCTTATTGTGTTGGCCAACTCCTGCCTTATTGTGTTGGCCAATTCCTGCCGTATCGTGTAGATCAACTCCTGCCTTATCGTCAAGACCAACTCCCGCCTTATCGTGTAGACCAACTCCCGCCTTATTGTGTAGATGTACGCCAACTCCCCTTTTCGCGCGCCTTCTCGAGTAGACCGACTAACCCGTGTTAAAATTGCGTTAGGTTCCTTATCATTAGCCAGAATTAGTTAAGTTTAAAATATTTCGCACCTTCATTCCTACAACTTTATACGAACTTATTTCTGAACTGGAAAATGAACGTAGTTCTTTCCAAATCTTCGCTCTCGTCACTGCATATATTGACCCCTTCTTATATTGACCAACGTCCTCAAGAGAATCGAGGAGGATGCTGCCAAATATTTGGGAGTGGAGCGCCTTGTTTACGATCAGAGATACTGATTTCACGAGAGCTTTTTGTAGTGTGTTTAGCCCCGTTGCCTGGTTTGATTTGCTAGTATTCTGTTCCTTGGCAATTAATGCCTCGCAAATCGAGTATTCCGCGCTCGCTCGCTACGTGAATCTTCATGTGTTGCAACATCGCCGTGACTCGAGAATATTTATGGGGCATCTCACTCGCGGAAAGAAAGCAAGCAGTTGTCCACAAAACCTAAACTCTCATCTATTAAGTCGTGGAAATTTGTGTGTACGTATAATATAGACGTTGAATGTGCCCAGTTACGTACGATGACGGTAAACATTAGTCAAATGAGAACACGTGGGTCAAATGAACAAGATTTCCTACAGAGAATCAGACGATTGAGTTGATGCGGGTATCTTAGTTAATAGATGATAGGTATTTAATAAGCATCTCGGCACTCATTATCTTACTTGAGAACATATGGCATCGCACTGATTCATTCGTTGTACTTCTACTACTTTTCACTCGAGAATTTTTAAAATGAGTTTTCTATCTGGCAAAGTAATCAGTTGTCAAACATATCCCAAGAGAAATTCCACTTTTAGCCGGAATTAGAACGCAGCTGTAGGTCAATCGAATTGCCGAAGCTTTACCAAGCTAAGTTCATTGAATCGAGGTGAGTGATCGCGAAAATAACACAATCGCCGAAGTAGCGTATTGATAGTTGGCCAAATGCAGCTATAGGGGCCAGTAGAACTGGTGCAGTGGACACGTTTGTTAATCCGTTGCCATGCCTTTGTTGTTCACGCTCCGTCTGTCTTGGCAACAACTGCTTATTCAACGCGGTTTTATCTAAGGTCTGCACCACTAACTCGCTCTGCGACTGTCTACTTCGCCTTTTTTTCTTCGGACAACTGTTGCTCCACATTTGGTGTCCTCTTTTCCCAGTCTTGAATTCAGTTTTATTGAGATTAACTTAGGAGGTATAATTATGTTAATAGCTATAAGCGATTTTTTAATGAGAAGAAATGCTCGTATGGTATTAAACCGAGAAACTATTTTTTTAACTTTTTTCGAAGATTATAGGTCGATGACGATTCATTGCAGTATTTCGCATGTCATTCATAGCGTACCATCAAAATATATTAACCAAGCACCATGCAACCATGCATCGGCCGCCCTCGTACCCAAAACCACGATGCAGTAATGGAAGCAAGAGACGCTCTATCCATACTAAGTCCGCAGCCTCATTGGAGCCAACTATTGCGCAGCCTCACAAAACTGAGGGAATCAGTTAAATTTGCGTATTAATTCTGTTTATTTAAATCACGTTTAAATTAAATTGCTATTTGATTTGATATGAATTTGTCTCCAGTTTAATGGGATGCTAAGTAGACGTATTCTTCGCCTACCACTCAAGCTGTGGTGAAAAAATGAAAATATGAACTACCTTTCATAAGCCATATCAATCGCATTTAATAACCCAAAAAAAGCGATCAGAGGCTACAATGATTATGTAAGATTTGTGTCATCTGCTCCAAAGCTCGTGATTACTGATCCCTCGATGACCTCCGATCCTATAATAACCTCAAGGAACAAGGAAGATTGTTGTTCAGCTGCACGCAAGATCTGATGCTATATTTAATTCATCAATTGTTTGTCCGTCAAGACAGTAATTAGCTAGACCCGTTGTTGCAACGTATATTGCTGTTCTGCCTCACTTGCCTTGCATTCATGATCGATGTTTACACTGTATATGGTTCAAAGAACGCTCTCATTCATGCTGACTCGGGCGTAATACGCACTTGCGTAAGCAGCATGTGCGTCTAAAAATGCCTCAGGCTTGAACTCACATGGTGTTGTTGGGGAACTACGTAGTACGTTTGTTACGAATTTCGGTTGATTCGTTTTGATTTGGTCTTCACGATCTTTAACCTGAATGGGCATAAAAATATTTTTTGTTCGATGATCAGCGTAAATATCCAACGAAACCTTAATCATGTCGTTGAAATGATTAATACTTGTGCTCTGATGCTGAACTAATGTTTTCGACGTGGTTTCCTATACTATACTGACGGTGTTGATGCAATACTGGACCAACGAAGTCTTGATTACGTTAGTTGATAATTGATATGCCTATTTATAGTAGATTGGAAGCGCTGACGAAGTATTAGCGATTGGACCAAAGTGAGAGACCTTGAGGGCGTAGAGCTCATTAAAGTTGTGAAGTATTGAACGAAAACAATCAGGTTAGAGCGCCAACACGAGTTGTAGAGCCACGCTTGTCTGTTTGGTTTCCATGACTACGAATGTAACGCTGGCACCGTGACGCCAGCTATACCCCCACTCCACGCCCACTACTGCTCTGTGCCTATCAACTGCGTGTCATGTTTACTGAAGATTGCTTTCTCCATTATTGGACTTAATAAAGAGTTTTATTATTTTTCAAGATAGTTACAGGACCTGTTTTTATCATGATATTGCCTGCTTTATGATAAGCTTTATGATTTGGCGAAGTAGTGCTTCGAAGTAGTACCAAAAAAGAAGTACTACCTCGATGTAGTACAAGAAGCAGTGTTGCAATAAATTTCCGCTTCTCATGTCCGAGTAGAACCTGAAACTTCCTGCTAAAGCGGGCCTTTCATTGTTTTGTATGAAAATAATCTAATAGGAAGTATGGAGATTTTGTTATTAAAGAAGTGCTGAAGCCTTAAACGCCAAGAGTGCCTTTTTTAACCTCTCAGAACCAGGGATCATAAGCCCTCTTTCCTCGGACATTTTTCCTTAATTTTAGGCTTGAATGACAAACAATGATGTTTTTTATTAGCTGAATGCATCCTGAGCTTAACGTGTATTCTAGTTTGCAGACAACACAGCATTTATGACAAGGAAGATAGCTTCGTATTTATTGAATGAAACTTAAGTTTGAGGTGTATTTTAGTTGCAGGTAACGCGGCATTTATGACAAGGAAGATTCTGTCTTATTTGCTGAAGTAATTTTAAGCTCGACATGTCTTTTTTGACTGCAGGCAACGGAACGATCGACTTCCCCGAATTCCTGACGATGATGGCGCGTAAGATGAAGGACACCGACAGTGAAGAGGAGATCCGAGAAGCCTTCAGGGTCTTCGATAAGGACGGCAACGGCTTCATTTCCGCCGCTGAGCTAAGGTACAATTCCCGTCCAACTCCGACACTCGGATCAATAATACTGGACTCATTAATTATTAATAAATTCTGTCGGTAAAGTTCCATATAATATGCCGGTGTTCTAGAGAAATATGTTGGTTCATTGGGTTTAGGTCCGGTTTTTAGTTCCTTCCGAGAACCTTTCGTCAATAGGTCAATAGGTAAAAATGTTTGACATTGCGACACTCGCCGCGTTTATCACGGTTCCGGCAATCAGCTAGGAGCTAGCAAAGAAAAATTTTCTGGCATAATCGCACAGTTGGTGTAAAAGCAGATCATGATCGAGATACATTGTTTTGATCAGGCTGTTATTTATCTGACTACGTTTGTAAAGTAGCTATATGAATGTACCGTGTTTTTTTTTTAAGTTTGTACTATTGCTCTTTGAATATGAGTGTATCGCGAAATGGTGATAATTTGAAGGAGCTTTTGATATTGTTTGAAGGAGTTTATAATGTGTTTATAATTGATTAAGTACGAGTTCCTAATGTGTGTATTATATCTCTATTCGGTTGGTTAACTGAAATAAAATTGTTATTACTTGACTGAACTATTCCTGTACTTGACTGAGTTAGTCCTGTACTTGACTGAGTTAGTCATTCCTACTATCTTCATTATTACCTATATTCCTACATGTTCCTACTATCTTCATTATTACCTGTATTCCTACATGTTCCTACTATCTTCATTATTAACTATATTCCTACATATTACTACTATCTTCAGTATTACCTATATTCCTACATGTTCCTACTATCTTCATTAATAACTTTATTATTCTTACACTCTTTCTTATTGTTCCCTCTTCGCTACTCGGATTTTTTATCAGCTTTAGTTCATCGTCATCTTGTTACTCAGCATATTTTAGTTATCCATGCACTGCCATATTTTATTTAGAATAAATTTTTTATGTGCGTTTTTACTTCTTTCTATTTCATTTTGTGCATCTCTCTATTCAGTTTTTTGTTAGTTAGTTGTGTTTCCTCGTAATTTCAAATTTGAAATTTTGTTTTTCTAAACCTGATTCATTTCCTTACGCTATCGTTGCTCTTTGATTATTTATACACTTCCACATATCCCTATTTTCATCCTCTTCCCTAACTTCTTATTCATTGTCTGTTTAATTTTCATTCTTCTTTCAAATTATTGACGCGCACATTTTCAGTTATCATCAAAATTCTCCATTATTTGTTGCAAAATGTTTGTCTATTTTACTTTTTTTTGGTCTTCAATGTAAAAGCTTCCTTGTATCGTTAGATATTTTTGAATAAAATTTCGCTTTTAAATCAGGTAATGGTTAGCAAATTCATACGACATCCAGCTCGAGCTTACACAGAGTGTGCATGCCTGACTGAACCTTCTCACTGATTGCTATTCCTTGTATCTGTAGCTCTGCAAACATTTTTGTTTATGAATTATTTTCAGGCAATGACGTTTTAATTTGTTTTGTATTCAGTTTTGCTACCATTTTTATTTTGTTCGCGTATTACACATTGAATACACGCTAACAGTAAATGAATGATATATAAGACGCTGGCTGTAATGCGGTGTATCTGTAGACCATTTAGTTTAGTGCACGTTATAAGTAATATTTTTAAGTAATGTTGTAGTTCCTTATTAGTATGATCGACACATCTGAAGATATCAGTCCCAAGTTTGTTTTGCCATCCTCTTTACTAGATTTTTTTATTTTTTTGATTGATTTTTTTCCAAACAAGTGATGGATGCAGTTACTTTCATAACACTAATAGTTAACCTTGAACTGCTATCTGAATCATCAGATTTTATGATTTAGTCACATAGTGATGCATGACATTCTTTTTAGACGTCGTGCTTTAATAGTGCGGCTTTCGTCAGATTTATATTTTGATACTTACATACTTTTAGTTCTTGAATTTGCAAGTTTTTACTCATCTCGCACACATTTTTAGTTTAATTTTGTTTGTATTTGAGTATTTTGTTAATGCTTGTTGCTTGCGGCCGAGAATAACCGTTAACGGAAAGACATGCACATGAGCCTGTTTGACTAACATTCTCGTACACCTGCATCCTCGCAGAATTTATCCGCATGATGACGGCCAAGTGAAGAGTTTGCTGCTCTTCTTCTTTGCACTACTGGGTAATGAGGACTGCAGTCGTAAGCTAAATGCAATGAATTCCATGAATCAATTTACTGTGGAGGTCTTAAATGAAAATTTTGATCATAACCTCGTGCGAAATCCAGTCCGTGGGCCTTTGGAAGCCTTTCCAGGGCACAAGGAAATAAATTCATGTTAACCCTTCACCGTAATTCGTGCCATTTATTACGGTTCAAATTTCTTTTAATAAAATCATTTTTAGCTACGTTAATTCACTTCAACCTCAATGTATGGGGAAGACATTTTGCAAATAATTACTTTTCTTAAATGAAAAATAGATCTGAAATAACACCCAAAATTTTTCTGCAATGCAATATACTTCTTGATCGTAATGTTAACTTTAAACAAACTATATATTTACGTACGTTCAGTAAATAAAGGGGCTTCCATTCGCCCGCGCAGCTGTGGTTTCCAAGTGGGATCAGTAATAATAGATCGATTAGTTGAAATTGTATTTCATTTATCTTAGTATGTGATCAATACAATAAGAAATTTCGAAATAATTAAAAGTACTTAAGAGTAACGTCATATTTCGTGCACTCGGTACACGTGAATATGACGGAAACATGCCTTGTGACTCACTGAAGGCTTGAGCTTGTTTGGTCACCATCATTTATGCTAGGTTTACAAACAATACGCGTTTAATTGTGGCCCAGTCATCCCTATTTGCAGTAGGCATAAAAAACGAAGGACCAGAACGTCTGATTTTACTGAAGTCTTAATGCAATAAATAGAGTATTTTCACTTTTTAATTATTTACCACTTCAGGCGTTTCTTCTCGGCAGTTTACTTTTATATTGTACATTAGCAGCTACTGTTTGTTGCACGGATTTTTTTTTTTGCATTTGAGCTGCACTCACTCATTAAATTTTATTTTTGCTTGAAATAATGGCTTTTTGTGTCATGACTTTTTATCTAATGTGTGTTTGCCTGTGTGAAAAGTTTGATGTAATATTAGGTTAACCATTGGTTAATTATTGAATCTTTTTTGTGATAGATTTGAAACAAAAGAAACTCGTATAGTGAATGTATCATGTTGCCCGATATTGTGTTCACCGCGCTTATCAGTTCCTCTTTGTTTTTTGCAGAGTTCGTGACAATGATGACCTCCAAGTGAAGTGCTCGCCTTGTCTTATTTAAATACTATATCAACTATTATTATCATGATTATTATTATTCTGCTGTCATTACTATTGTTACTATCATTTCTACCGCTGTTAGTCAATCGAAAGTCAATAAGGAAAATAATTGGGTTCACATTACTGGCGCAGCAAGGAACGATGCAGTACCTGATGATAAGTTGTATGGTCACCCAAACTTCCGCCTTCGCTCACCATAGTTGTCACCATGATTTTTTGAGAAGGGTATATTGGTCAACATTATCCTAAAATGTCTGCCTGATCACCTGTGACGGCACTTAGAATCTGGGAAATAAATTCAATGTTCAATTGAACAAACAGTTGACACTATGGACAGAGGGTCTAAAATAGAAGGCACATGCATTGTGGGGGCGGAAGAGGTGATGGTGCGATGGTTGAACACATTGGCCTGATTGTATTTAGGTTCCCACCATTATTGTGTCTCATGATCATGGCTGGTTATTCTTCACGTCACCAATAAGCACTCACTATTGAACTCGGACGAATTACTAACTTTAATGCTGATCTTGTCCGTCGTTATTCTTGCTATGTTTTGTGGTCTGATATTTGCGCGGTTCTGGTTTCTTTGGTGGTACTTGCCTTATAGTTTTGTAGCTCTAGTTCTTTCAACCTTGCTAATGTGGGATTGATTGCTCTTCATAAACTTCTTCAAGAATTAATTCTGTAAGAATTTCATAAGTAATCTAAAAGCTTGTAATAAAGTTCCATTCGATTCTGTGAGTCTGAATGAATTTCTTCGCATTTTCGATTAACTACTGAGTTCCCCATTGTACAATTTAATTTTCGTTCTCTTAGGTAGCATTGTAGTTAATATCTCGGGGATATTGCACTAATAATATTATTGTCATTGGCTGTAAATCATCTTTAATATACGGAGCTCTTTAAAACCTAATAAATCCTTTAATGTTGAACTGAAGAAGTAGCATGAGCAAGTTATTCTCTTCGTAGACACATAGCGTTGGTATATGAGCAGAGGCATCGGGTTGTCACCTCGAAAATTGGTCAAATTCCAGAGGTGTAGGTAAGTTTCTACTTCTACTGTTGCTCCATCTCTACTTTTATTGATAGAAGTACATTTCCCTCACCCACTCCTATCAAGTAGATTTAGTTTTCTACACGCCCATCGAACAGCGAGAGGTTTGAACCGTTGTCTCACTCTTGCTGTGGCTGCCAAACCAGCTTGGCTTTCTTGACTCATCACGAGCGCACTTACTAGCCAAAACTTCCATATTCTTCGAATTTGGCCCTATTAAATTCCACCGGTGAAGATGTCCATATTCCTTCGCTGCTATGCGAGTGTATACAAGTCACGTTTATTTCTAAGCGCTTTGCTTCACCAGCCAATATGGCCGTTGAGACTGTAAGAGACTGAAGCCCTTTGATTTGCAGTGTTTTTTGGAGGGGGAAGAGCAAAGACCTGTTAGCTTATCCGGCTGCAGTTGACCGCCTTAGGGATTGTTGTAATGCCGTCAGGCTTTTAGCACTGCAGTCGTGTTCTCTGCACAATGGTGACGTGAGTTGGTACGATAATACCGGGTGCACGACTCGAGTTTTAACGGTGATACTGGGTACACACGAGTCTGTACACGGTGGTACCGTGAACACGACGTGGGCCTCAGTCTTTTACCGTCTTTGACGATGCGAATTTAAATGTTCAAATATCTCGAGACGCTGCATTGAGTGTCGCTACATGTTTTCTGTTTTGCTAAATCACTGATATAATAAATATTTGTCCTGAAATTTCTCTGTGAGAACATCCAAAGCCTCGACCGTATCATGTATAGTGAGATAACATTTTCTTTAAAACATTACCTTTATTCGAATTTGAAATATTTAGTAAAAACTTGATAATGCTAAAATATAAAGCAAAATGTAATCGTAATTTTAGAATAAAGCTGTAGGAGACTTTGGTACGACATTATTGATGTGAGTGTTGTAGAGAAGCGCTTCAAGTCTCAATTGTAACTATTGTGATCAAGATTCAGCTTCTAATTACGGTATAGTTTCCACTGTAATTTAGACCCGCGTTTACTTGATTATTTAAAGTCAGACGGCGATGGTAGTCTTCCTTGATCAGTTCTTTCTCGTCATGTCGACATCGCTCTGCAGTCGAAACTTTTGCCGCATCTTCTCGAATTGTGTGCTGGAATCCTGTCTGGTAGAACTTTTAGAGGTGACTGTTAGGTGGTTGATTTATATTCCATTAGCTTCCTTTATATTGAAGTAGATTTGAGTATCATAAATATGTTCTAAAAATGTATTGTTTTAATTACCTTCTCTTTTGATCTTAGTTTGGGGGTAAACTTTTTTCCGTTAGCGCTTCGGATGTTACTCATAACCTCGGTTCGGCTTAGTTGGCTTTCGCTGTTGTGTTCGACTAAAAAAAAGCGTGTCCCTATCAAGGTTCTACCTCACACAGCTTTCCCAATCCCGGCCCCAGAGTCTGCTAGTTTCCTTATAGCGGATCTTGGCGACATCTACCCAAATTTGTAATTGTCAACTTGACGTTGAATGCGCACCTCTTTTATGATATTTGCCTAGTAATGAAATCTTTAGTGTGGAATGTACTTATCCTTGGGTCTATTAATACTACTACAACTACTAATATACTACTACTAGAAGTGCACCGTTTCTACTGCTCTATAACTACTATTAGTCTAGTATCTCGGAGCTGTCTACTGTTCTACATGGCGTGTGATGTCCTTCAGCCCCGATAAGCTCTTCTACTAAGTGCTCTCACATAGATATGCTGTCGTCGTTGTTATATATATCTTTACGTCAGATATTGTATACACTTTTTTAAGTTACTTGATCAGCGCCGGTTTCCATGTGTGTTGTGTGGCTTGTGTTTCATGATATTGCTTCGTTCACATTGGCTTTTTTGGTCTTATCTTTCATCTCCATGATGATGCCGACGCGCGTTCGTGGGAAGTTGCTTGATCTAAGCAGTTGCCTGCGCTCGGCTTCAACGTAGATTTTGTTGATAGACTTGCTATCGGAATTTGGGGACTTGCCTTGATTCGTTCTGAGAGGAAAAATTCTATCCTGTTGGCTTTCTTTTGAGCTTTTCTTCGATGAGCGCCTTATTTGAACCCCGAAATTTTATTATTATTATAGACACGCTGCTGGTGAAAATTTTATTAGCGCGATACTTTATAGTAACAATATTATTGATGCAAATGATGGTCGTGATGATGATTGTAATGATGACTATAGATGATGTTTTCTATTGTTACGGTTAGTGTTCTTTTTTCTCTTTTTGTGCGAAACGCTACCATACATTCCTTGCTGTAAAGGCGCTACTGCGACCGTACGATCGATTTTCTATTAATCTCCCATTTATTTCTTTATGAAGATAAGGATGAAAGACGTTTATCGTAAATAACATACACGGTCACTGAAAGGTCGACGTGACTTCTGTAGTGAATTACAACGAAAGAAACCCTTCTGAGTTTTTTTTTTTTTTTGTCAATCATCTCTTGCATTTTAGAAGTGGAAATTTTTCGGTTGAGATTGGCAAAATACTTGTAATATGTAACACTTGCAAACAAAATTATTGGCTTTATTCTATTGGCAGATGTTACAATGCACCTTGGAAGATCGTTGAATAAAGTTTGGACCTATTTTGCGTTTCTTGTTTACCACCAAAGTCGGCTGTTTAAAGTTTACGAGAAAAGAATCGTAATTAGTCGCAGTTGTAGCCGATTATCTCATAATCGTTTGCTGAATAAGTTATTTTGTAATGAAAGTGAATTTTCGGTGGTGCCAAGGAAGACTCCACCAAACCATTAATCTTGGCGAGAGCTTTATAAAAAAATCGTAATTGAAGGAAATTGAAAAATAAAATAGAAAATTAGCTAGCTTCAATCGGTGTCGCCTGAAATACGTTTCTTAGGAGCACGCTCATTGAAATGCGTAGTTAATAGTATACAGTTACGAAAATTAAGTTTCTTCTCAAGTTTGTACATTTGCACCTCTGATTGAGGCAAATCAGTGAGCTTTGTCAATCGAATACTTGAATTATTCAACTAGGTGATCACTCTTGAACATTTCTAAGATTTTCTCGTAGGTCACACTTAATCACCCTGGAACGAATATATGGCAGTGACACATCCCGGCAAATCATATTGTTCAACCTCAACTTTTCCTCACATTTACAAATATTCAGATTGTATTTTCTCGTTCTTTATTTTATTAAAATGTAATTCTTCACCTTACATAGTTGAAGAACCATTTACCAAGTCTCGCTCTTAGTTTGAAAGTTATTACACATCTTGCTCTCGACTGCTCTTCTCCCTCGCCCACAGCTCTTGGATGTCATCGTTGAGCAGTAGCACACTCAGAAAAATAGATCGTTATTATCCAAATAATGAAACACTTTATGCTCGTTGGATGAATACGCCTCTTTACCTAACATAACTAGGTCAGGATGTCCCGCAAAAGTGCAAAGAATGCATTGCTATTTGGACAAAATTTCACCCATTTCTGAGAGTGTCATAACCGCACATTTTTTCCTCAATTGTGTAGCATTGAGCATGCGAAGGCTTGGTGTATAAATAGCTCACGTCCACTAATGAATGCGTCATGTTCAAATAATTACGCATTTTCTATACGTACGTCTGATACGCTCTTGTACCAGGCCAAACTATGTCACGATGACCTACGTATGTGTGAAAAGTGCGTAGTTTTTTGGACAAGGTCTCACCAATTCTCAGAGTGATTACTTCAATTTAATCTAATTTTCAGTATCTTCCGTCAAAATCAATTCGCTATTTGCATTTCACAGCATTTACCTTGCCGTTGTCTTATATTTTTCGCATGAGTTTAGAGAAAATTTAATCGTGAAATATAGACATTACTTATTAGTGTCTGAGTAGATGAATGAAGGATTTCCTTCTTAATTGCCGAGGTCACTGCTGAAATTGATAATAAATAACTAATCAGTGTGATATTGTGTTTTCTTCAGCCTTTTCATTAGAATGTTCAAACAAAAGACGAGTAGCCAAAACTTAAATCATTTGTTCTAATGGCTTCGGACTCATATAGGTTCATCGGAAGTTAGAATAATCAAATTAGTGCGAGAAAACGCATCGAAGATTATAGATGATTAAGGCATTTATATGCTTGATACTAATTCTCATGAAACAGTTAAATATAACCAACGCAAACTCATCTTGTATTAAATCGATCAATGCGTGTCGCATCGAAAACCACCAGCCACGTATTAAAATTCCTTGCTATAACTGCGAGATTCTGGCTGCAGATTTTAAAATTGCAAAGCTTGAGTGATAGATTAATGGATGAACCAGTGCAGCCATTCTATCATTTCATTTATAAAAGCTGCGTTCTTTAATAGTTAATTAATAATTTTATTCCTATAGATTGTAGGCCACTCACCGAATTCGAGTCTTCACCGAGTGGTTAGACGGGTCGCCTGCCGAAGACCACCACTGCCCAGGATGTAATGGACCATCATGATTCCTGTCTTCCGGAACGTAGCCTTCAGCATTTCTGGACAATCATATCTAGGCCGTGCGTCGTACCAGCCCTCGGTCGAACGGCCACTCATCTAAGGACGGTAATTTTTGGAACAAAACTATGCTATCTGAAACCTAACCTCAGATGCGGTGAACGTAAAATTACGAAATTTAATAATGCCCGGAAGTCATATTCGATCCGCGGCCTGGTGGTGCACGGCAGGTTTTATGCAAGGCCGGAGAATGACAAAGCAGAGTGGTTCACGGCTGATTGGTTGATGTCCGGAGAGATCCAAGGCGTTCGATTCAGGGCTTATTGGTGCACAAAATTGGTGGTGAACGGCTGCGCTCCTGGTAAGACTCTGGTCGTCGCTCCACATGGAAGAAAACCAAAGCAGCGCAGCTCGACTTCATCCTAACGACTCATCGCGGCGCAGAGAGCTCTAAATTTCCTCATCTGCGAAAAAGACATGCATGTTTAAGACAACGATGAGCGTAAGTTTGTCCTAATAGCTATGCACTCTTTATCCGTGTGTGGGTCATCGATACCCAGTTTGGCCCGAAAAAAATACCCATCAGTGACGTGCAGAAAATGTGTCATTATTTGGACAATATGACTCAGTCATATTAATATATGACTCGGTTATTAATAACGTTGCTGACCCATTAGAGAACACAACAGACAACATAGGTTCAGACAAGTTATTATCTTGCGGTCGGCCCAAACTCAGTATAAGGTTGGTGGGGAATAGAGGCAGTGAGCGCAGTCAAGTTAAAATATTTGTAACTTCAACTAAATTATATCAATAAATGTTTGGAGTTTTCATCGTGTATATGTTGCGGCTGCAATTTGAAGAGAGAAAGCGCAGCAAGTGTTTGGCCATAAGTCAAGCAATTGAAACTGGAATTTTTTGGTAATTTCTTCACTCTATCCTAAATTCTGCACTAAAATTCAATACATTCAGTCCGACAACCGAAAAAAAAAACAAATAAAAGATGACTACGATATCGCCGTAATCCTGCACCCTTGGTATCCTTGGTATTTGTTTCGGACGTAGCAGTCCCAGGCCACGATGGATCGGAAAGTATTTGTAAACAATTAGCGTTCGAGCTGTCCTAGTGTAATTAACACTACTGATGCGCTTACATATTCTGTTTGTCTCGAGTACATATTCGTTTATTGCCTATCCTGATAGCGGTGATCAATAGCCTGATTTTTGATAAGTCAGTTTATATTTTAGGTTAGTTCCATGACCATCGTGCTCCACCAAAACTGTTTTATTGTCGTACTCTGGACCTGCCAGGACCAATGTTTCGTAGTGCCCAGCCTCCACGT